TAACAGGGAGGAGAAAACAAACCAGGCATATGTGCGTGTGCGTGTGTGTGTGTGTGTGTGTGTGTATTTAACTACACACACACACACACACACACACGCACATATGCCTGGTGTGTGTGTATTTAACTACACACACAAACACACACACGTATTTCCAAAATATGTTTATATATATTATATACATACTGAGTGGCCAGATTATTATGCATTCAGAGACAATAATCTTGCCACTCAGTGTATATCAACAACCTGATAGGCAGTGAACTTGACATGATTAGTCTCAGCTGATTCTTAGTGAATATTCATAATTCATGTTTCAGATTCACTGATATAAATAACACTCAGAATGAGCCTAGGAGAAGAGATCAAATTGACTCATTTTCTCTTTCAACTCTACCCTAGTTACCAGTATTTTCCTTAATTGCTCTTAAAAGTAATTTCAAATGGTTTCACAAAAGTGGCTTTAACTAGAAATGATACAAGTAGTTCTAAACAACCTCTTGTTGTGAAATCCTACTTATAAAAGTTATGATAACCAACTTCATGTTTTAATAGCTATTACAACAGGTTACTAAATTAATACTTTGCCAATATATAAACAATGTACAAAGTAAAATTTATATATAAATTGATTATATAAATATGATTATAGTGACACCTAGTGCTCATCTTTTAATGCTACACAATTAAACTGTTAGGATTTGGGGGGGGGGGGAGAAACAGAAAATATAAAGTGCTGTTAGAGCCAATGACAAAGCTTTGCTTTAAAAACTGGCCCTATTTTAGAGGTCACTAGCAATATCTTAAGGATTACTGATAAGGTGAGACAGCCAATCACAAATCATAATACTTCATATGTTTAAAATTAAAATCCTATAATTCAAATAAAAGAGGAAAGTAAAATGATTACTTGTTAAATAGTGTTAAAAACAGCTACAAAAATTGTAAAGGCCTAAGTTACAGGATATACTAACTACTACACAGCCATTGAAATATTGGGATAGAAGGGAAACAAAAGACATTAAATGTGTAGTATTTCCCAAAGACAGCAGCAGTATCTCCCATTCACATGCTCTTCTGTAACATGACCTTGTCCCTCTCACACTGATATGAAGCCTATTTCTCCACCCCTTCCAATCTAGGTGTGACCTTGGACTACTTTGACTAATAGAATACAGAAGTAATCATATTCCTTACGATCACTTAACTACCCAAGTATAAAACACTTGCTCTTGGGATATTAGTCTTAAGAAACCAACCACCACCTATGAAATATGACTACACTGACACAACCACAGAGAAGTCCGAGACCTATGGTCGGCAAACTGGCTCTCAAGCCACATGCAGCTCTTTTCCCCCTTGAATGTGGCTCGTCCACAAAATACCATGGCCTGGGCAAGTCTATTTTGAAGTGGCGTTAGAAGTTGTTTTAAAAATTTGGCTCTGAAAAGAAATTTCAATCATTGTACTGTTGATATTTGGCTCTGTTGACTAATGAGTTTGCTGACCACTGCCCTAGACAATGACAGACCCATCTGAGGAGGCCAAGAAATGCAGGTGAAGAAGCCATCACCGAAGTGGATCCTCCAGGTGTAGCCTGTGCCATGTGGAAACAATGCCCCAGATGAGTCCTTCCTGTGAAATCATGAGTAAAATAAAATGGTTGCTATAAGCCACAAAGTTCTGAGTCTGTCATGTAATTGAAACAGAAATGGTTTCCTCAAAGTATGATACTGCTTTAAGAAAGTCCTAAAAACATGTGGCACTGGTTTTGTAACTGAATGGTGGGCTTCAAGGAGACTATGAATGCAGGTTTGAAGGAAAGTGAGAAAGTGTTAGTGAAGGCTGGAGAAAAGATAGTATATATCATATAAGATAAATATAATTTTTATATTATGAATTATTTCATTTTAAAAATTATTTCTCCTTTCCAACTCATCTGCATAATATATGGCTTTGAAAATGACAACTGAGTGTCATTTTCAAATCGAATAGCCTTGAATATGAAATTAAGAGAAGCTATCATAAGTTTCAAGCACAAGTTAAACATTAATTACAGTTTTAAAAAAATAATTCTGAGAGTTTCAGTCTCTAAACTTGTCTGTTGATTATTCAATAAATATGATATAATCTTAAATTTTTTAGAAAATAAAAAACTTATGGCAAGTACAATCAAGCCATTATTATAAGGTCATTTAACAGATGATGATGTTACATGTCTGGACTTAAATTCCTATGAACATCAGTATCTTAAATAAGAAAAAAGCCACTCATTTAAGTGGATCGCAGAAGAGTTGCTTAGCTTAATTTCTCCTCTGTCTCCAAAGCATAAGAAAGACTTGAATTTAGCTGTCAAGAAAGAGCACATGCCTTTAAACCAGCAAGATAATGCAAATATAATTATATGCTACAATCTAAATTTATTATTAATACTAGAGGCCCAATGCACTAGCATTAATGCAAGAACAGACCTTCCTTCCCCTGGCTGCCGGCACTGGCTTTCGATCCGGCCCCACTGGCAGGCACCCAGGAAGGACCTGGGCGGCTTCCCTCCGGCCCGGCTTGTCTGGAAGGATGTCCGGTTTAATTAGCATATTACCATTTTGTTATTATAGACTAGAGGCCTGGTGCATGAAAGTTTGTGCACTGAAGGGGTAAGGAGGGGGGTCCCTTAGCCTGGCCTGCCCCCTCTCACAGTCCAGGAAGGGATGCGCAATTAAACAGATTTCAAAAGATGAAAATTTCCTTTGCTTTTGTATCCACAGCTGGAAAACACTAGTGAAAATAATAGTTTGAGTATGGCAATATAGGGTGACCCAAAAAATATACATACATACATTTTGAATAATTAAAGGCAATTTTATTAATATACATTTCATTTTCAAAATTGAGCTATCAGCTGTCATACTGTACATACATTTTTTGGGAACACCCTGTATATCTGCTGCAGATCTGTTTGGGAATGAAGATCTTAGTTCTTGTTTTAACTTCTGACATCAATGAAAGTATATAAAATACTAAATAAAGCAATTAAACATTACTTATGATTCAGATGTTAGTTGCTGTCAAATTCACTTTATCACAGTGTTTAACATATAGGCACTGTTTTGCCTGTGATTGTAGGTTGAATTCATTAAGAAATATTAGCAAGTCTGCAGCAATAGTTAATTACCAAAGCCACTCAGTGTTTAATAGTTGTTGAAGGCAATACTGGTTCAGAAAAATTTCAATCTTGGCCCTAAGCTAAAAAAATTACAAGGTAACTTTTCCACTACTAAACTAACAAATTACTGTGTGGTAGAACTGCCCATGAAATTGAATGAAGTCCACTACTGACACTATTGGATCAGTAATAATACATGATAGATTCAAACTTTTTCCACAATGAATCTGGTGACGAAAAATACAATGAATAACTTATAGGTTTGTAAAAGTCTTACACTTTTACACTTTGCAAATAAGTCTTCTGTTCCACACTTTTTTTTTTTTTTTCACCACCATCAGTTAGAATACATTTTAGCAGATTCCACTTCAGGTTATACTGAATCAATACTCTGGCAACTTCTTTGAAAATTTTTTCTCCTATGGATGTTCCATGCAGTTTCAAACTCTGCAAACTCTGCACTGACTCCTTGAATAAACTCAACATCAGTAACATCTGTCTAGTCATCAAGAGTCTAGGAAAAATACTTTAAATATATTTTGATCCTAATGTCCTCAATTCTTCAAACAACTGTTCTCACTGAAAGGCTAATAGTCTTAATAAACAAGTTTTTCTCTGGACACATTTATTCAGCTGTTCACACATGAACTTATCATTGGTAAATGACTTTCCCTGCTTGGCCTACAAATGAGCCACTCAGAAACTTTAGCTGCAGCTTTATTTTCATTCTTTTATTTCTGTGAAGAAATTCTGATGTGATGAGATATTCCACTTTACATTTTCTAAATTTTCTGACCATTGTTTTCCTCAGTTGGAAAACTGTGACAGTGTTTTGTCTGATAATCTAAATGTTTACTGAATTCTTTTAGCAGAGCTAAAATATCATAGCTTCACCATCTAATTCAATAACAAAATAACTCATACTACATCGGGCCTTAAAAGCATGACATTCAAGTTCATTGTTTGTTTTGATATGATGAGTATGCAGTGATGATAAAACAAATAAATAAAATGTTGCAGTATGGAGATATGCTCGTTACTAAAAAATGCTGTGGGATTTTAACCATCAGCTGGGATTTGTAGTGTGCTGAGTAGCAGTACAGAGTGATGAGAGCAAGACATATGGTTTCTGTTACAACTATTAAATTCTGCTGTTGTATTATGAAAGCAGCAATAATCAATACATAAACAAATGATTGTGGCAGTGCTCCAGTAAAACTTTATCGACATTAAAAATAAGAATTTGATTATTTTCATGTGCCCCAAAATATTATTCTCTTGATTTTTTTCCAACCATTTGATATTTGAAAGGCTTCACAGTAATATTTTGGCTTCACTAATGTAAGGGTTCCTGGTGAGGAGCAATGTTATTATATCCAAATAAAAAGAACTACAAATAAAGTATTTTTTTATCTTGATAAATATCTAGAGATATTTTCCCATATCTTTTGTATTCTGCATGAAACTGCAAAAACTAAAGCAATTCAGACCTGACTGTAATTTGGGAGAGAGAAAAATAGTACTGCAAAATAAAAATCAGGACAAATATCATCTATATGCTTAGCAAGATATTACTTTTATTTCCAATTAAAACCTTTCTAAATTATTCAAAAAAAATAAAAAATAAAACATATGCATCTGAACTGACAATAAAATATGGTATCTAAATGATTTTACTTGATTTTTTTCTAATTCTTTTTTAGTGTTTCATAATAATTATGAATAAAATATGAATTATTTAAAGTCAAAATGTATTCACTAAAAGACAGTTTGGCAAACACACACAAGACAAGTATCCAAAACAGTGATATTAGTTAAAACTATAGTAACTGCTTACCTACAACCAGGCCACATTCAGGACAGATCATATCACCAGCTCTATAGTCCTCCACTAAAATCGAATCAGGATGGTTTGGACATGCGACTCTTGGGAGAGCATCCAAACTAAATGAAAAAGAAAAAAAAAAAGTTTGTTTTCTTTTTTAAATTCTCACCTGAAGACATAAAGGAAGAGAGAAAGAGAGAAACATCAATGTGTGAAACATATGTGAGAAACACCAATCCTCCCAACCACCATGTAACAAAGTAGTCGTCTTGGGGTGGGAGGAGGATTTTTGACACTTTTCTAATATATATTTATAATACATTTAAACTAAATTTCTGAAGTAAACACTTCAATTAAGTTACTTTAAATTCTAGCTAGTTATTAACAGATAGATTCCATTGGAATTATTTTTTATAAGACGTTACTAGTTTGAAGACACAAAAAGCCTTAAAAACTTTAAATAGAAAACAATTGTTTTTTTCTCTTAACAGTTGACCAAGTTTTTTTGTTTTAGTTTTTAAATATGTTTTATTGATTTTTTACAGAGAGGGAGAGAGATAGAGAACTAAAAACGTTGATGAAAGAGAAACATCGACCAGTTGCCTCTTGCACACCCCCTACTGGGGATGTGCCCACAACCAAGGTACATGCTCTTGACCGGAATTGAACCCCGGGACCTTTCAGTCCGCAGACCGACGCTCTACCACTGAGCCAAACCGGTTTCGGCAACAGGTGACCAAGTTTTAAAAAAATGTTTGATTAGCATTGAAATGACTAGCTACCATAATATCCTGTAAGAGTTACATTCAGTGTGTGCCCCCTGCCACTTATTTTTCTGGTCAGAGAATAAATTTTTCTACTTGTTATTTACCATGATGGTAGATTTAGAATAGTATACTAAACCTAGTCCTATCTATAATAATAAAAGTGTAATATGCTAATTAAACCAGACAGCCTCACCATCATTCTGGATATCCTTCTGGACAAAGTTGCAGTGATGGAGGCCAAGGGAGAGGCAGTTAGGGGCATCAGGCAGACTGGTTAGGGATGATCAGGCAAGCAGGTGAGTGGTTAGGGGCAATCAGGCAGGCAGGAAGGTGAGCAGTTAGGAGCCATGGTCCCAGATTGCAAGGGGGATGTCTGACTGGTCCTAGACTGTGAGAGAGTGCAGGCCGGGCTGAGCTCCTTACCCCTTCCCCCCCACATGAATTTCATGCACCAAACGGCTAGTCCTATATAATAAAAGCCTAATATGCTAAGTGTCCAATTGACTGGTTCAACCAATCAAAGTGTAATATGTTAATGATATGCTAAAGCCGCTTAACCACTTGTGATGTTATTCACTGACCACCTTCGACTGGTCAACCAGTTCCTATAATGCACACTAACCACCAAGGGGCAGAGACTCCAAATGGTAGATTAGCTTGCTGCTGGGGTCCGGCCAATTGGGACTGAGCAAGATGGGCCAGACACACCTTGGAGCCCTCCCCGGCCCCCATCATGCACTGATGGGGTCCCTCGGCCTGGCCTGCACCCTCTCGAAATCCAGGACCCCTTGGGGGATGTCAGAGAGCTGGTTTCAGCCCGATCCCACAGGCCAGGCCAAAGGACCCCACTGGTGCATGAATTCATGCATGGGGCCTCTAATATAATATAAATGAGGGCAGCAGATGTGGCTCTGCTTACTTAAACCATGATGATCTCATTTAGTCCAGAATTAGTTTGGCAATCAAGACATAGTTTAAAAGCTACTTTTTAATCTATTTCTGATATTAATAATTTTCTCAATTATTTTATTTTTAAAATAAAGCAGTTTGGGAAAGACACAACAGCTTTAAATGACCAATTTTAAAAAGCAACCATGATATTTAACACAAATTTTGTAATTATTTCTGGGGATATGACCTCATACTCACAAATGTTTAGTATCACTGAAAATAAGTTGTCTTTAAAAGTTCACTTGTGACAGGAAAATCTTATGCCATAAAAAAAAAAATGCTGAATTAGAATAAGGATATAAAAGAAAAAGAACCACCCAGCCAGCATGGCTCAGTGGTTGAGGTCATGATTGGATTCCTGGTCATGCCCGGAAGCAGGCTTTATCCCTAGTAGAGGGCGTGCAGCCAACCAATGATTCTCTCTCACTCATGTTTCTTTCTCTCTTCCTGTCCCCTCCTCTCTGAAATCATTAAAAATATAAGTATTTTTAAAAGAACCAATCATGATGCAGACATTCTACATCCAGCAAAGGTGGCTTTCAATGAAAAGACCATAAACTGTTGGAATTCAAGGAATATCATTCCTATGAGCCCTTTGAGTTTACTGGAGACTAAGTTTTATACTTCCAATATGATAGGAAAGACATCAATGTAAAAAGACATCAATGTGATGAGACAACTTTGCACATAGAACTTAATGAGCGCCTATATAAGAACTATTAACATTGTTAAGTACTCATGTTAGACATAGTATAGGTATTGTTATTCTGAGAATGTTTTCTGGATTATGTGGAATAAAGCTAATGTTTAATTATGAAAAAAAATTGAACTTGAAGTAATATAATAAAAGGTTATGTTATAGCCAACATAGATATGCATCCAAAAGATAATATTACCCATGTAAAAAGGTATTCCTGGTTTTGGATAAAGTTATCATATAATACAGTTTAGAATGTTAACTCTCAACACAGAAGGCAATTCCCACTGGAAAATTGATAATATAATCCACATTCCCAAAATGTATATAGTCAAGGTAACCAGAACATGTGCTGAAATCTTTTCATGAAAAAAAAAAAATGGGAGATGGGTTCATTTTACATTCATCATTCATGCAATTCCAGAAATTCCTATAGAAAAATACTTTCATAAATTATGACAAATAAAATATTAAAAAAGCAAAAATTATGGAAAATTATTTTGAAATAAAGGAAAATGTTAGCAGAGTAACTAATTACAAATGCATAATATGGACAGTCAGGTGGCATACATCACACAAATAACTGATGTATTTTTCACTCTTAAAAAGGAATATCATGTAGTATGTGTTTGTATCTATCTATATATCTCCATATATATATATATGATATGGAAACATCACAAAGATATGCTTACTTCTAAAAGATGAATTTTATACAAAAGTGAGAAAAGTATGAACTACACTTATATACAATAACATGAATATCAAAATGCTGATTAAAAAAACTACTCATGAACACATATGTATGCCATTTACATAAACCTTAAAGTGGGCAAAATAAATCTATGGTGTCAGAAATCAGGATGTGGTAATGACTACGGGCACAAAGGAGGCTTCCAGGGTGCTAGTGGTATTTGATTTCTTGACCTGGGTGGTAGCTCTGTGTATAGGCTCACTTATTAATTGAGCTGTGCACTTAAAACGTGTGCATCAATTTCATAAAAAAGATAAAAAGCAAGGCACAGTGTTTACATTAGACTCCTTTTCAGGGGGTGGTGGGAGGGCTTATAACTATCCTATATAATAAAAGGGTAATATGCAAATTGTCCCCTTAACCAGAAGTTGGACCAGAGGGTAGGGCCGGCCCACTAACCTCCTGCCCGGGGCCCCTCCCCCTGGCCAGCCAGGCCTGGCCCGTGCACAAATCCCAACCCGTGTGTAAATTGATACACTGGGTCTCTAGTGTGCATATTATTTGCTAAAGCAGAGACTCACTGGAAAGCATGAAACTGTTACAAGGAATGCTTTAGGGAAGAATTAGATGGCTGGAAGCTAGGGAAGAAGGCAGACTACTTTTCACTTTTCTTGCCTTTTCACTATGTGTAATGTGTTACCTACCCAAAATAAAATCATGTTACTCAACTTTTAACCAAATTTCCTCAAGAGTAATACAAAGGATAAACTACAAGAGTCGGATTGTAGGGGAAGAAAGGGGAAAAACAGTAGGAAAGGAATGTAGTAAACCATCACCCCTAATACTAAAGCAATTGCAACTACCTAAGAAGCCAAACTCATTTTATAGCTATAACTTACTGGGTGCCTACTGTGGATCTAGTGCTATACATACATTATTAATCTTCAAAACCACCCTGAAGATAGGCATTATCTCCATTTAAAGATCATGACCAGAGAATGATTTGCCTGAAATCACAGAATGGTGGGGCTTAAGTTTGAACTCAGAAAGAACATTTGTGCTCTTCTCTGTGAAAACATCAGGCAGTTTCATAGTCTAGTAACTGTGTATCTTCCTCAAGTTAAAAATAGGGAAAAGGTAGAAATACTAGCATTTACCTTTGTTCTCACTGGAAGAAAAACTCAAAAGCTGAACAATTCAATAACACATAGAGCTGGACACGTTTAGAAAAAAAATATTTTGAACATTTTTTTTAACAAGGCATACAAAGTAAAGTGTACTTTTTGGGTAAGGAATTTATCAAGTGAATTTACTAGACTGATACTGTTACATTTCATACAAAGTAAAGTGTAGTACTTTTTGGGTAAGGAATTTAACAAGTGAATTTACTAGACTGATACTGTAACATTCCATATAAATACGTTTTCCTGTTCTTATACGTCCAAATACGCCCACATGCACCTTTCAAATCTACTGCCAGGAGAGACCACACGCTGTGTTTTGGTGTCTTTGGGAAGCTGAAGTCTCCCATTTACTTACAAGTGAGCCTTACCTGACAGAGCCACGCCCTATGACTGAACACCCAATCATAGAATTAGAATCCGTAAACAAGAATGTCAATGACTTTAAGAATTATTGCCAAATAGGCCATTAGCTAAAGCTGCCTCACTGTTCCCCATTTAAAAAAAAAAAAAAAAAATACAGTAACATAAAAAAGGGCCCGGACTGCTCCAGCTTATCACTTATGATAATGGCTTTCATTGGGAACTTAATTCCACAGATTACTTCAGGTTCAAAAATCTATGCCAAAGGTGCCTACCAGAAATTATAGAACTTAATTACTTTTAATATATTATGAATTAACTAAAAGCCAACTGTGTGCTAACAAGAAATAGATACATGCCTTAAGCCTGTTCTAACACTCAACTTGGAAAAGCCAGCATTGGCAATGACTCAGTTTACACTAATGCAAAAACACTAGTATCTACCTCATGGTGGTAACGAGAGATATAATTAAGGCCTGCAAGCCTTTTTTTTAGGTCACAGGATTTAAAAAGCTGTCTCTACAGGCACTACATGCATTTCCTGTACATGTGGGCACACTGCATTTTAAAAATGCATTCGAGTGACTTCCCAGCATTTGTAAATAATTTTTCTGCAGGCGAGATTTTCTTCAGGAAAGTATACAGAAGACATCTGTAAAGAAATCTCTTAAGAAGGGGGGAACGTATCTTCAGAAATGCCTTCACCTCCATTCAGGGGGCCTCTGGGATGTAATCAGTCTCCATTAGGCTCACCAATACTGACGTCCCTAACTTTCCAGCCGTCAGCCGGATGGGGGCCTGGAACTAACCCTCTCCAGCCCTTTGAAGGGAGGACTCACGGCCGCTCGGTAGATGGAAAAACAAGCGTAGGGAGGGAAAAAAAAAAAAAAAAAAAAAAAAAAAGGACCAAGGAAGGAAAAAAAAAAAAAAAAAAAAAAAAGACGTTTGCATTATCAGCCAAAGGAGAGAGGCTAGGGGCTGCGGACACAGGAGCCCCTCCAGGGTGGAGCCTGGGTGAGGTGGCCATGTAAGACCCCGGGGTGGGAGCGTCGACGGCTCGGCAGCTCCAGCGACGCCCCTGACAGCCGCGTCGCAGGGAAGCGCCTTTGTCCGGCCGGCCGGCCAGGGCCGCCGCCGCCGCCGCCCGCAGCCTCTGGGCGCCCCGCCCGGCGCGGGAGCCCCGCGGCCGCCCGGCGCTCCCCGCCCGCCCTCCACTCGCCGGATCGGGCGCGCGTACTGACCGGCTGGTAGACGCCATCTTCACGGCCACAGGGATTCCTGGGGAAACAACAACAAGCCCGCACTGCCTGACGCACGGACAACAGGAAGACACAGTGGCGACTGGACGCGCCGCGCCCCGCTTTTATAGACGAGGCGCCCACGCAGGCGTAATAAGGCGCGGCTACGGGTCGGGAGAGCGGCCAAGAAAAGTGAGATCCGGAGTGCCGCGTGCTTTGCGTTTCCTTATTTTTCCTTTTTCCGTGTCCGTAACGTGCTCGGTAAGGCTAGATGAATCAGCGAAACGACCCAAGGACACTTCCACGCGGACCCCTGCAAACGAGCTGCCCCAGAAACGCCACATCTGGGCTGAGATAAAGCACAAAAGGCAGCCCGGGCTCGGGGCTGGAGGCAAAGCCCACATCCCCCATCCAGGGCTGGCCGCCCCTCCCCCGCCCGGAAGTCAGTGCCTTGGGCCGGACTTCGCTTCTGATTTGCCTAAAGGGGTGATTCCATCAACAATTTGGAATGAGAAAGAGACTTTCACTTGGGTCCGTCCGCACAGGTGTCAGTTCAGGCTCCAGTCCTCCGCTAGCAAGCTGCCCCTTCTTCCTTCGGCGCGGGCAGTCACCGTGTCTGCCTTGCTTCCCTTTCAGGACCGCAGGCGATGAAAGGAAACCCTGAGCCACACTGCACCCGGCAGGCAGGGAGGCCTGGGCCCTCACCGGGTGGGTGTGTTGTTTTGCTCCGTGTCCTATAAATGTATCAGATAGCTAAAATAGAGAGAGCTTAGCAAAAACGTTTAGAGATACCACAAAAGGTTCCTAGATTTATTCATGAGCCGAACTGACGTCGGAAGAGGGAGAGTGGCCATCGTAAAAAGAACGCTGCCTCTACTTGGTTGAAAACCACCCTTGGCTCTGTGGCCATCCTAGGAAGCAGAGTGCTCCGGGTGTCTGTGGGGATGAGGACGTAGAATATAGTGGGTGCTTTGTTCATCTGGGCATGAGGCTTAAATGCCACGGGGCCCTTTGAATGCCACTGATTGTTTTCTTGAGAGGTGGGGAAGTCAGGCAGGAAAGGGTGTAAGGAAAAGGAGTTTAGAGACTGAAATAGGATGGTAATGAGAGGGTTATTATTTTTTTTTTCTCTCTCTCCAGTCTTCCAATCTGTAGTTCAAAAGGTTGATCATATGAATCTGAGAGGAAAGGCGGGGGTGTGTAGGAAGAGATCAATCAAAAACTTGTAAGCATGTATGCATAATCCATGGACACAGACAATAGGGTGGTGGAGGCCTGGTATGTGTGTGTATGGTGGGCGGGGGAGGTCTATAAGGGGTCACTGGGAGAAAAAGGGGGACATAGGTAATACTTTCAACAATAAAGATTTTTTTTTTTTTTTAAGGGTTGCCTGTACTATTGTGTGAGGGGAAAATGGGGGATGTTCTCCCATAAAATTTGGGAAAGCCTCAAAAATGCCCATTCATTTCACCAGTGCCAAGTACAACCAGAAACGGGCTAGGGGGTGCTCCATCCAATCAGGAAGGAAGTTGTTACAGTAGAGCACCTTGGTTTGGGAGAAGAGGGAGAGGAGGAGGATGACAACTGGGCACCTCTTGAGGATCAAGAATAAGGGCCTACCAACTAACAGTAGGCATTCAATAATGTTTGTGGAAGGAAGAAGCCATCAAAGAAGTTGAAACCCCAGAGAAAGGAAGCTGGGTAACCAGTTACTTAACACCTGCTCCACCTGAGAGTCACTTATCTACCATAACCTACTTAGGATATCTTTTATCTATATATATAAATGCCTAAGTGACCGGCAGAATGACTGACCGGCTGGTAACTATAACACACAATGATCATCAAGGGACAGGCACTCAATGCACAGGCACAGAAACATGGAACTTTTATTGGGGCAGGTTTTTTCAAGTTAAAAGTAGTGTTGGGTTCTGTCAAGATGGTGGCCTAGATAAATGTAGTAACTACATCAAATTTACAACTAAACTACAGAACAATTGTCATTCAGAATTGCCTAAAATCTAGCTGAGCAGAAGTCCTACAATGAAGGCCGTGCAGAAGAAGCCATATTGAGACCATTAGGAGGGACTGAGGGGTGGAAAGGGCTGGTCCCACATCCTATTATGATGAATAATCAGAAGGGATATTTCAGCTATGGAAGTCACTCCTGAGGAGCAAGGGGTCCCATCAGGCTCCCAGCCCAGAGTTCCAGTGCCAGGGAGAGAAATCCCCATGACTTCTGTCTGTAAAAACCAGCTCGGATTGTGGCTGAGTGAGATGGAGGGCTGCTGGAGTCCCAGGCATTCCCCTTAAAGGGCCTGCACATGGACTTATTTGGACTCACTTACTCTGAGATCTACCGGTGGGACACTAGGGTCACACAATGTGGAACTGAGTTGCCTGGCATCCTGGCTAGAGCTGGAGGGGCAGCTTTCTCCCAGGCAGAAGTGCTGGCAGAGCCCTTGTTCCTTTTCTGGGCCCTCCCCCAACGTGGCCAGCGGGCAGGCACCATATCTGAGTCTCCATCAACCTGGCTATGACTGTTCACCGTGCACTGGTGATTCTCTGAAATCCTGCTTCAATCAACTTGTCCCCACAAGCTGTTTCCAACAGCATATCCATACGAATAGCCTGTCTTGGCTCATGCTGGAAATTTTCATAAAATATCTCAAACAAGCAGAATCTGGCCTCTGCATGCCATGTACTTCTCACTGAGTGGCCCCCAACGTGGTTCGCACGTGGCCTCTCCTGGGCATCTCCAAGTCTAGCACAAGCACAGCCTGACAGATCATTTGTAACTCATGCCGATGGCCAAAGAAAGGGTGCAGGTGGCGCATGACCTTGGCTTTCACCTCCTAGGAGGACCCAGAGCCAGTACACTGAGTGGATAATTTCAAACCATGTTGTGACACCACCTAACATCCTCCACTTCAGGGGTAGACTGCACAGCACCAGAGGCCCACTGAAGTAAGTCCTGCTCTGTGGGAAGGGTCAGCTCTACCTAATACACAGAAACAAACACAGGGAGGCAATCAAAATGAGAAGACAAAGAAATGTGTTCCAAGTGAAAGAACAGAACAAAACTCCAGAAAAGGAATTAAACAAAATGGAGTCAAGCCACCTTCAGGATGAAAAGTTTAAAAAAGTGCTTATAAGGATGCTCTAAGAACTTAGTGGAAGAATAGAGGAACTTAGAACTTTAGCAAAGATGTAGGAAACACAAAAATGGAGATAGAAAACATTTAAAAAAAAAAAAAAAAAAAGCAGTCAGAAATGAAGATTTGGAAGATAAAGAAGCAAGAAATACCCCAGCAGAACAGCAAAAAGAAAAAAGAATTTTAAAAAATTAGGATAGTATAAGGAGCCTCTGGGGCAACTTCAAGCATACCAACATTTAAATCATGGTGGTGGTTGGGGGGGGGGGGCGTTGTCAGAAAAAGAGCAAGGAATTGAAAACCTATGTGGAAAAAATAATGACAGGAAATTTTCCTAACCTGGTGAAGGAAATAGATATATAAATCCAGGAAGTGCTGAAACCGGTTTGGCTCAATGGATAGAGCGTTGGCTTGGGGACTGAAATGTCCCGGATTTGATTCCGGTCAAGGGCATGTACCTTGGTTGCGGGCATATCCCCAATAGGGGGTGTGCAAGAGGCAGCTGATGGATGACTCTCTCATCGATGTTTCTAACTCTCTATCTCTCTCCCTTTCTCTCTCTACAAAATCAATAAAATATATTTAAAACAAAAATCCAGGAAGGGAGAATCCAAGATGGCTGCTCGGGTAGGCACCTAGCCGCAGCCGCATGCAACAATTTCAATAAAATACAACTAAAATAAAAAATGGACATTAAAATAAATAAATAAATAAATAAATAAATAAAAAATTTTAAAAAAAAGGACATTACCCAGAACTACAGGAAAGTCGACTGAATGGAAATTCTACAACAAGAAGCAAGGAGGAAACCAGAAGGAAGAACGGAGGAGCTGTAAAAGCCCAAGAGTCCTAAAAACAGAATAGAAGATCACAAGAATCAAGTAAAAAATCTGGAACATAAAGAGCCAGAAGACACTCCTCTGCAGAAGCTAGAAGACAAGAGAATCCAAAAAATTGAAGATGATGTAAGAAACCTCTGGGACAACTTCAAACGATCCAACATCAGAATTATGGGGGTCCCAGAAGATGAGAGAGAGCAAGATATCAAAAACATACTGAAAGAAATAGTGACAGAAAACTTCCCCCACCTGGGGAAAGAATTGGACTTACAAGTCCAGGAAGCACACAGAACTCCAAATAAAAGGAATCCAAAGAGGACCACACCAAGACAAATCATAATTAAGATTCCAAGAGCAAAAGACAAAGAGAGAATATTAAAAGCAGCAAGAGCTAAGCAGATAGTCACCTATAAAGGAGCACCTATACGATTGTCAGCTGATTTCTCAACAGAAACCATGCAGGCCAGACGGGAATGGCAAGAAATATTCAAGGTAATGAATAGTAAGAACCTACAGCCAAAGATAATCTATCCAGCATAGCTATCACTCAGATTCGAAGGTCAGATAAAGAGCTTCACTAATAAAAAAAAAGCTAAAGGAGTTCATCACTGCCAAACCAGAATTATATGAATTGCTGAAAGGGGTTCTTTAGGAAGAGGAAGAAGATATAGATAAAAATTATGATCAACAAATATGTAACTATCAACAAGTGAATCTAAAAACCAAGGAAATTAAAAAAAAATCTGAGGAACAATATTAACTGTTGAATATAATAGAATCAGAGGTATGGAAGGGGAGTGAACTGATGATTCTTGGGGAAAAGGGGAGAGGGGTATGTGGGAAGAGACTGAACATAAACTATGCACCTATGGATGAGGATAATGGGGGGTGGGGAAAGGGCAGGGGGGGGGGGAAAGAACATTTGTAATAATATGAACAATAAAAATTTATTTAAAAAAATAAAAAATAAATAAAATGTTCTGGAATTTGGGAAAAAAAAATCCAGGAAGTACAGTAAGTCCCAAG